TGGCTTATAGTCTGTGAGGGTATAATCTCGGCATGGTCCTCCGCGTTAGCATTGCGACTGTTAATCTGTTCTGTAGATGGTCTCTGCTGCGAAGTATGCGAGCTAGTTGCAACTGTTGTTGAGACAGTCTGGCTGTGATCCGAGGACGACCCAAAGCGATTCCTTGAAGCAGGTTGTCGTGGTATCTCCTTCATCAGCTTCCGCCTCTTAGCTGACTGTTGCATTCCATTGCCAGGTTGACCCAGAGGTACGGCATTGGTGGTCATTTCAGACGCAGGCACCTCCCGAGTTACGGGATCTGATGCTGTGTCAATCGCTATTTGGGTAGCAACCTCGGGGTCAATAGAAGCTGATCCGGTAGCTTGCGCGACATTGGGATCGGTTGTGGGAGCTTTGCGTTTACGCTTCGCCCCTCTCAACTCACCGCTCATAATGGAAACGGCTTCAGAAACCTCAGCCGGAGATTGCCGAGAAACCTCAGAGGGTGTCTTTCGCACCGCATTGGAAGGTCCCATTGGCTCAGCAGATCCACACCCTGTAGGTGCTGATATAGATGGATGATGAGAGCTTGGCCCGGCAGTCCCATGGTCGACCATATTGCGTTCCTGCCCGTGATGTTGGCTATTTTCTACCAACTGTCGATGACCATTGCCAGTCTGGACTGCTGTTCTTGGTTCCTTGGGTCGATTTTTAGATCCTTTGGGGCGGCCAGGACCTGGCTTTCGCTTCTTGATGCTGGATACTTCAGATCCCGTGCTTGCTGGCATGATATCATGGTCTGTGACAGGAGCTTTCTGCTGCTCAGAATTCGTGACGGAAACACCATCCTTTGGCCGGTTTTTCGATCCTTTAGGCCTCCCTCGCCGTCTTGGAGGTGGTGTGCAAGAGGCATCGGGCACAGCACTGATGGGTTCCTCCCCAATGGAGACACTCGGCCCCGCTACGGAACTACTCTCATGAGATACTTTTGCGGTGTCATCGGCAGTGGCATCACGCCTTGTTCCTGTCGCATTACCTCCGTCACTTAGGGGTGCTGCGTCTTCGATATCGACCCAACTGTCATCTGCAGGCCCCTCCTGGACAGACCCGTTGCCTGGAAGACGACCTTCTGATGTTTGCAATGAACGGGCACCAAACAAGATACGTTTTCTGAGGCTCTTCTCCTTTTTCCCTTTTGCATTCTTACTTCCTCTCGGTCGTCCCCTTGGACGTTTCACTATTGACTGTTGCGAATTGGACAACGACTTGGGACCAAGAGCTGGAAAGATCTCAGCTAGCCAGCCGATGAAGAGTGAACCCGGACCATTGGACTCAGCACTGTCCGGAAAAGATTCATCGGTGTATGCTGCACCGGGAACGCCACCGAAGAATGCCAGCGCTTTACACAGTTGATCGACCACCAGAACCGGATGAAGACCACGCAAAAGCGTTAGCAACCGAGCTTGTTCGGCCTTGGTCTCGGCGGCTGTGAGGGGCGAGTTTCGATGACGAGGAGCTGGAGGGTATGTCGAAGTATCTCGATCTCCTGGACGATAAGCGAATTTGCTCCGCCTGATGGGAACGTATCTGTCTGTCTGGGCTAGTTTCGCCGCAAGCTGGGTGCCTTCACTCGTCCTTTTCGCCGCCGCATCCCGCTCTTGAATTTCATTCGTAGTGGTAAGATCAATGTGCATGACACCAAAGTTTCCCTTCCTGGCATCGGTCTTGCCCTTCAGCTTGCTTGGAACTGGATTCCGAACGCGACCATCTCTGTACAGGCCGGGAATATCATCCTGCACTGGAGGCCCCGTGTGTTGTAAAATCCCAAAACCATGAGATTCGCCTGTTGCCTGAGAGTCAGCCGCCCGCCTAGCTATACAGAGTTGACAACAAGCAGGGCTGCCGCAGAAGAGCAGTAGCATGGAGAAACAAGTCTGGTCAACGAACCTCTGTGGCTTGCAGAAGCTGAGACAGGTGGTTGCGAAGTACGTTGGTCAGAAGTGCTTTTCTCTTCGTTCGAAATAGCGGCGGCCGGTTTCAGCGTCTGAAGTGATGCTGCAAAAGGTCATGGTCAGCAGGGGGGCTAGTGACGAGCAAGTGACGAGCAGTTGACGGGGGAAATGCGAACCTGCGATAGTAGCCATTGCTGTAAGCGTATGCCACGTTGTAGACTGGTTCTCATTCCCAAACGCGAATAGGCCGAGGTCGGGGCCGGTGCCAGTGCCGTAGTTGTGAGTGCGGCGCGATTACTTGTTGTAGTGTTAATACTATTTGGTTACACAGGGACGTACGATGGACCGTCGATTCGTGGCGTGGAGATGGGTCTCGAGCAGGCTATGGGAATCGCGACCCATTCGACGCTCGCAATAGCCCGTAATTTCTTACGGTGATTCTCCGAGTCAACTGCTTCGAATTTGGGCCGCAGAACACGAGTGCAACATCATCATGGGTCGGCCAGTCGTGACAAAGTGGGATGGTGAGCGCTATGCGCTGTACTGCGTAGACACTGCCGCCGGCAGCATCACAGCGTGAAGGCTTGGCTCTCAGCAACGCAGCGAATGGCGTAACGGGAAGTGATACTGGCAGACCAGCTTGCGAGTGGTTCGGCGAGGGCGCGACGTCGATGACCGAGCAAGAGGAGACAAGACCAAAACTTCATTCGGAATGACCGTCGAGGAACGAGAAACAGAAGTGATGCAAAGAGTGGCCCTAAGGGTGCGGAGGCGGTAGACGCGGAGTACGGCCAGTACTCTGATGGCTGATCGCGAGTGACACAGAGCCCAGCTGCCATCCGTAGGCACCTCACCTGAGGGGGGAGGTGCATTAATCCGCTAGCTGCCCAGAGCTCAGCGCCCCAAAAGGACAGAGCCCGCTCCTGGACGCGGCTGTGCGATGCTCCTAGCAGAGGGAGGTGGCATTCACTGGACCTAAACCTTAGGTTGACAGACGTTGGCTGTCCTTTCTCTTCCCGGCACCTCAAGACATCCTTTTTCTCATCAAACCTCCAAGGCCACCAAACGAACACCTGTGGCATGTTTGAGGGTGCCTACAAAGGTAGATTTGAGCCCGTTCCTCCACACTGACCAACATCTCGGGGGCTGCAACATTCATATCAGCGTCGCAATCGCTACCGCCAACCACCCCTGTCGTCGTGTCAGGTCTTTCCCCTAATATCCAAAGCGACTCGGTGTTCAGGCCCGTCAGCTTCCTTACCTAAGCCTTCCCTCCAGGACCTCTTGTTACCTCAAGCTAGCTCTCTCACGTTGGATCGCTCCGACTCGTTGCCGCCATCGTCATCGTTCCAGCTCCCTAGCCAGTACTTTACCGCGCTCACCTGCTGACACGCATGGACTGCTAGCCATCATCATCAACATGTCTACCAAATACGTCCTTGTCTCTCTACCCCTCGGCATCTTCGACTCGAGTGACAAGGAAGATGCCATCGCTTCCTTGAGCGCAACGATCTCGCCCGAGAATGGCAGCGTCCGGCCTTTCAACATTCCAGACTTCAAGATCGGCACATTGGATGCCTTGGTCCAACAGGCCGACGACCTAGCCAAGCTGGAATCTACTTGCGAGGCCGTCGTTGCCAAGGTTGCTGATTCACTGAAGTCGATTCTCGATGGCGATGAGGACAAAATTGCGCAGCAGAAGATGGTCAACGACAGTATGCATTTCACTCGCGTCCATTCTCGTCCTTGACATCGTCATAAACCGCTGACAATGTTGTTTTTCCAAGAGCCTACCGATCAGTACGTAGGCTCGTTTTCGTGGAATAAAGTTCGATACCGTGCCGACAAGAGCTTGAGCGAGCTTGTCGATACGCTGCAAAAGGTATGCTACGATTGAGAGCTTCCGAAAGGTGTACTGCCAGGCATGACTGACAAGAGAAAACTAGGAACTTATCACTACCGACAACGATGTCAAAAGCAAGTTTAATCAGTATAACTCGGTCAAGACGAACTTCACCACACTACAGCGCAAGCAAACGTATGTTCACTACCTGAGTACTACCCGAGTATCAAAGTGTTGCAGATTGTTGATGGTAAAATTGACGCTAGTGGCAACCTCGCGACAAAGTCGCTCACGCCGATTGTCGACCCTGCAATCCTTATTCAAGACTCGGAATACCTCGAAACACACCTGATAGTTGTGCCCAACAATGTCAAGAAGGACTTCTTGAGAAGCTACGAAACGCTTGCACCCATGGTTGTTCCACGGTCAGCTGCACAAGTAGCTCAGGATGACGAGTTCACATTGTACTCTGCCACGTCCTTCAAGAAACATAGCGCCGAGTTCCTACAAAAATGCCGCGAACAGAAGTGGACACCCCGCCAGTACAAATACGTCGAAGGTGGCAAGGAGGAGGAACAGCGCGAGCTTGATCGAGTAGCCCGCGAAGAGAAGAAGACGTGGGGAGAAGCCTTGAGAATCGGACGCACGGGCTGGAGTGAAAGCGTCATGATATGGCTTCATGTTCTAGCACTTCGCGTCTTTGTCGAGGCAGTTCTGCGGTACGGGCTTCCTCTCGACTATGTCAGCGTCTTAGTAAAGGTAAGTGATCGCGCAGTGATTCTCGCAATCAACCCGCGTCCACGGTGCTAACCTACTATTCAGACGAACTCAAAGCTGGCTAAGAAGGTCAAGACTTCCCTCGATTCCAACTATTCTTACCTGGGAGGCAATGCTTTTGGGCGTGATAAGCGTGGAAAAATCACTAAAGACGATGCAACCCTGTCGTCTGAGATGGCAGCAGCTGGATTGGGCGGAGGCGAGGGTCACGAGTACACAGCGTATGTGTACTACGAATTCGACTTTCCTTAGGCTTAGCAAGTGAAAACGGAGTAATGCACCGACGAGGGCTCTAATATCCATACGTCTATGTATCCACAAAACATCCGACGCACGTGGGGAAAGCGGCAAAGACCGAATAAGAGCTCTGACTGCCACAAGTTGACGGTTTCTGTAGTCACGCAACTAGATGAGAAACCGCAACGCCGTCACAGGCAAGAATGTGGACTTTAAGCTGCTTTGGTGGATGAAATGAGGCCCTCCTTGATCAACCACTCGGCAATCTGCGCGACGCACTCCTCCACGCTCGACTTGTCGGTCCTGATGCGGATTTCGGGGTTTTCAGGCTCTTCATACGGCGCAGAGATGCCAGTGAAGTCCTTGATCTCGCCTGCTCTGGCCTTCTTGTAAAGCCCCTTAGGATCACGTTGCTCTGCCACCTCGATTGGGACGTCGACGAAGATTTCGATGAAAGGGATAGCGTCGTCGTCGCTTTGGCTCGCTTGGGTGTGCAGCTCGCGGGCAACCTGACGGTCTGCTCGGTACGGAGAAATGAAGGAAGTGATGGCGATTGTCGAGGAGTCAGCGAACAGCTTAGCAACCTATTGGAGAGCATCAGGTAAGCAAAAAACATGGCATTGAATTGGTGGCGTGCGTAGAAAGAGGGGAGAGCAATGTACCTCTGCGATACGACGAATGTTCTCGTTCCGGTCCTTCTCAGAAAATCCCAGATCTTTGTTGAGGCCAAAACGAACGTTGTCGCCATCCAAACGGTAGGCAGCAAGGCCCAGGTGCAGGAGATGTTGCTCCAAAGCGGTCGCCACGGTCGACTTGCCCGAGGCAGAGAGGCCAGTCAGCCAAATGGTGAAGCCACGCTGGCGACGCAGCTGATTACGCTCATGGCGGGAAAGCGACGGGTGCCATGTAATGTTCCTACAAGATCAACACGTTTCGATCAGTCAAGGCGCTGCGCACTGGATAGATGTGAAGAGGATGGAGGAAGTCACGAAGCCAAGGCCAGGGCGACACAGTGGAAGAGCCCGGCCAGGTATTTAGAGGATGCGCGCAAACTCCAAGGAGGGGTAATAATCAAGCGTGGAGTTTGTACTCACGTAGCCATTGTGGAAGTCAGTACGACGAACCAATAGACAGTGGTCCAGTAGAGGTCGGGGGGGTGGAAGAGAGTGGAAGGATGACCAAAGAGTTTACAGTTACAAGACGCGCGCAGAATGTTTCAGCCCGGACCAAGGGACAGCAGGTCAGGGGTTTTATACCCAAGTCATGGAAGCTACTCTGTAAGTGACGGCTCACTAAGGTACAATATTAGTGTAGGTGCCGTCCAAGTCATCCAAGGTAAGGAATGTCTTCTGCTCTGATCCCCTCGCCCCCGCTTGCACAACAAAACGCGGCCCATTTGACGTGGAGCACGCCGGCACCGGCTCACACAGTTTTCAAGGCTTTTCAGGGCAATGAGCATTTGTTGTGGGAATTTAGCTGGAGTTTGTAACCAGCTCTGGAGGGGTGGAGGGGCAGTGCACCTGGTCTCGGGTGAAGCTTTGGTGTGCAACGGACTATTAATTGGGCCAGCGTGACGGGGGGGAGGGGGGAACCAAAGAGGGAAAAAGAGAATTCATCGTGTAGAAAGTCGGAAGCGATGGCGTCAGATCGGCTAAAGGTGGATAATACCTTGGCAGGCCATCTAAGTACGTATTTCCGCAACGCAGCACACTCCGGTTGTGGTCTACAGGCAACTCCGAGCCCCGGCACCGCAATCGACCGACTGCCGACCCGGACCGGATGCCGTTCGACCCTCCCGCCAGGTATGAAGGGATAGGCCCTCTCCTCCTTCTTGCGCAATGTTAGTGGGGACTTTTCTACACGAATATGCCACTTTTCATATTTGCCTGGCCGGTACCTCTAACTGTCATTCACCATTCATCTGGAATGGTGGGCTGCGCAATCAGTGAAGCCCACCCCTCGCGAATTTTTCTAGGCGCATGATAGACTGGTACTCAATACGCCTTTCTGAGCCAGGCTGCCAGGGCTTCTTGCGTGCGGACCTTGTCGCCCAAACGGTCCAGTCGTGAGGCAATTAGTAGGATTTTTTAAAGGAAAAACAAAAGGAGAAAAAAAACACCATGGTTCATACTCAAGATGTTGCGTTGAGCTTGGCCATGACCTGCGAAGAATGTTAGCGTGGGAAAGGCCGATGTCGTTCAACGGGGCGGCACACAACATACCGATGCAAATCTAGGTGAAACAAAGAGTGCTGTTGCTTGTGCCAAGACAACGGGCTCTTGTCCTTCATCAACCAACGTTTCCAGTTGACCCTCGACCCAAGCCTTCCGCCCTTCAACTCTCACTGTCTGCGCCCTTAGCACCACGTATGTCCCGGCGTGAACCGGCCTTCTGTAGTTGATTTCGAGCTTTGCGGTGACGCCCACATTATGTGGAAGTGCCCCAAAACAGCAGCGTGCTAGACCTTCGTCAAGCATGGTCGCCAGAAGACCTCCGTGCACGATACCAGGGTGGCCGCACATATCTGTTCCAAGATGAGATATAGAGACAAGTGCTTTTCCACCGTTCCTGGTCCAGCATATCGGAGGCACCGTGATGCGCCCGGGGCCAAGGAGCGTACCGCCAGTAAGATTATGACGTCTTAACCCATCGGGCAGCCTCATATGTGGCCGAGATTCAACCATGTCCGCGTCCCTGCGCATCGTTGCCGCAAGAGGGTGGTTATTGATATAATCATCCACTGCCTTGGCCTCTGCGTCTTCTGGAACGTAAAGACGCAAGCTGTCTTCGTCGGACCGGTGTTTTGTCGCATCCAACAGACTGGGCGCAAGTGGGCTAGCTGCGGCTATAAAGCCGAGACTTGCAAACAACAGTCCATATGCGCCGAATGCGATTGCCCTGCGAAGGCGGGAGGGAGGTGATGCCGGTGGCGCGATGGGAGCTGCGAGAAACAGGGTAAGCTTGAATCATCCAGGCATTGAGACCTCGCGCAAACACTCACGTGCGCCGACACCAGGGTGGTATCGTCGAAGAAGTATACGACAAGCTGCCGGGGAGAACAGCGCGTTCGGGATGCTTCTTCCTGCACGGCTTGCAGGCAGCGCTATCATCCGCCTCAGCGGAGCGAACGGCGTCGCTGTCATATATGCGACCAATCTGTACGTCAAGGGCGTGCGTCGTCGGCAGGAGGGATATGGTAGGAGGGCAAAAGTGTCTTATTCGAAAGGCAATTGTTGTTGCAGGGTCAAATTAAGGCAGCGCAGGGAAACTGGGGTAAGACAACCGAGGCACCTTGCCTCGCGGAAGCTTCCTATGCAATAGAGGATGTGGAAGAATAAGGTAATATAAGACTAGGTGCCTTGCTTGATGAAACCAATCATACGTGGTCAAGCCCCATATTTTCCACCTCAATATCCAGACTGACTGTCGCACGGGTAGCAATTCCCACTTCGTACTGCCTGGAACGTCTCGTTCGCGAAACGTTGCCAAGTATAGGTGTGAACAGTGATAGTCGTGCTTCCCAATGCGGGCGTCCAATCATGTTGATGATCAGTTTTCACAGCCACTGGCTTGATTACGTCAACTGCTGGTGGTGTTCCCTTGTCCTGTGTATCCCGCCTCTGCCATGCCTGGGTTCAAGAACTGAGCAAGTAGTCACCCATGCCAATGACATCAACCCCTCCCCCATATGTCCTAAGAGCGTCTGAAACTATACAAGTTGCGGTCGGGGCACGGAAATAATGGGACCCTCTGCATACAAACGCCCATCCGGTCTGCGCTCCCGCTTCGTCCGTCCCATCACATCGCTGCTCAGTGGATGACGGACGCTTTGGTCCCCTCAGGTGCAGATTCCCCTGGGAGATCAGATGGCATATAAATTGGCTGCTGAGACGACATTAAACATCACAAACTTTACCTCCATTGCTACCCCTCCTAATCGATCCATCAAAGCAGGAACATTGCAACTTTTGACTTATCCGCCACTTTTTGTGCAATCATCTCGAGGAGATTCATCACATCCCCTAACATGGTACGTTCTGATGTAATACTCGATGGAGTGTTGTTCTCGTTCATCTTCCCTGACCCGTAATACTGCCGTCGCATCAAGGCTACGGCTGAAACAGTAGACTTGGGCCCCGTCCATGAGCCTAAAGAGGAGTCAATCAAAGTCTTCAAGGACATCGAGCACGAGCTCAAGAAGGAGCTCCTGCATACCCGCCGCGAATATCAGAGTAAGAACCCTGCCTTTGTCGGAAGGGATCTACAAGTTCACCAACTGATGCCCAACCCCCTACCAGAGCACGAACGCGAGTATTTCCAGGCTGTTGTAAGTACCGTTGGTGGTAGATGAATCTTAAGTCCATCCTGGCTCACATGCTCGAAAATAGGAGGAGCTGGACGACGACCAACTGGCTGGTTTCAGCTCAAAGGACCTCGTCGCTGTCAGAGTCGCTGTCTCAGCCTACGGCGTTCACCTCTTCGGCAAGATTCGTATCCCAGTCATGTCCGACTCAGGACCTGCATACATCCACTTCAGAGCCTTTGATGTGCCTGGAGGCGACGAGCCGGCTAAGCTACACAGCATCCACACAGAGGAAAAGGAGCATTCTGACGGTGACAAGACCTATCGCGCCATCTTCACCAAGAATGACCCACTGGAATGGTTTGACACATGATGTGGCAAAATAGCACAGAGTAATGGTCCGGACACAAGGCATGGGAAGCCTCGCTAGAATACCGAATCCTAATTCACCGTTGATCCCTTCCTCTAATGGCGTTGGCAAGTCCACTCTCCCAGCCTAATCATCATCTTGAGCCAAAAGATCGGCGTAGTCCTCTGCCGAAGCAAACATGGGCAAGTCCTTGAGTTTCCTCCTCGACGATCGGCCACCCTTCTTCGGCTTCTCACCCTCCACTGGCTCCTCAGTCGGAGGTGCAGGAGACCCAACAATTCCCTCGTCATCACTGTTATCCATCTCCTCACCCCCGTCGTCCTCCAAACCAAGTGTGTCGTCTTCAACATCTCCGTCCGAGCCGTTAATGTCGGAGCCATCGGAAAACACAACTCCGCCGTCAGAGAAACCGTCGCTGTCGTCAAAACCGTCCATGTCAAGGTCGGATTCATCGCTGTCGATGGGTCCATCAGGATGCGTAGCTGTAAGGGCCTTCCAAATCTCGTCCTCTTGCTCGCCCTCGTCCTCCTCGTCACCAGACGCGACGGCTGAAACCGTAGCCGCCTTCTTCCCCGTCTCGGTTTTCTTGCCAGCCTGCTTGAAGTACTCGTGGAAGAAAATGTCCTCCACGGCAACATTTTCAGCTTTCCTATTCCAGAAGCTCGGCGAGTTGATCGATGCTCCAGCAGCTGCACCGGCCCTTTTGGCAAGCCAAATGCTACCTGGGTCTGGATTGCGGACTGGCTGCATAATGGATGCGCCCCTGCTCGTCTCAGCGACCTTGGGGTTGCGATAGACGAACTTGTCGAGAAATCTGATCAGACTATGACTCTCCAGATCCGGTTTAGCCATTTGCTTCTCATCAGAAAACAAACTGGCGGCCAGCGTTGACACGGACGGATGAAAGTGGGTTAAAGAGGGGACCTAGATATAACAGCATAAGCGACCTGTAATCAAGATGACGAGACGATAGTGCTCACAATTTCCCACAGACAGCTGTTTTGAGCATTGCTGTGTTCTGGATTCCTCTTTCGGCCATCATATGTTGATCCCCGAGAAGCGGGCTCGTTCTTGCTTTGCTCCGTGAATTCAGCAACTGTTCTTTCGGCATCGTTATCTTCGGGCTCCTCAAGAAGAGCCCTAAGTTCAGGAAACTGGACCCGTAGCTGAAACACGACATATAGGAGTCCGCAAGCGAACGCAGCTTGGTGCAAGTTCAAAATTTGGAGCATTCTCTTTGCGAAAGCCTTGATACGGCGCGTATCGACATCAGCCTTCAACGACCTTAATAGCAAATTTAGATAGAGGGCCTGCTTCGAAGATATCGCCAGACGGGGGTCCAGCAAAGATTCGTACAAGGTCCTGTAGAACCTGTCCGAGGCTAGATGCCTCGTGACTGAAAGCTGCTGGATGAGAATGAGTGCCTGGATGCTGGTGTTGAAATTCGTGGAATGTGCAATACGGAAGAGCGTATCCACTTGCGTTTCCAGACTAGAGCAGGACGAGTAAGTTCCTTGTCGAGTCAGGGAAGGAGATGAAGCAATTGAGGAGCACATACATGGGATTCTGGGCTGCCACGAAGGGGACTGCGCGGTTAATACCTGTCAAAACCGCAGTGACCAGCTTATCGGCTGTCTGACGCTCTGCTGCTGCGGCTCCTTCTGTACCGGCTGGGGCAGACCTCTCCTTCTCCTCATCCCCGAGCGCTCTGCCCAAAACAGAACTGTTCAGAAGGGTCACGAAAATATCGAAGTAGATGCGGAGAAGGGCCTCTGCTGTACCAACCTCGCGACTGCTGAGGATGGTCTGGTTGAGAGTGTTCACCGCGTGATACTTGGCTCTGAAGGTCTGGCCAGGGCGCCGCAAAACCTCCTGCTCGACAGCGTTGATAATGATCTGTCTCATGCCAGGGTGAGTGTTCTGGAGCTGAAGCAACAGGTATGAGACTCTTGAGGCAATCTTCCGGTCTTTGTCGCCGAGCTTGTTGACCAGCAGCCTCAATAGGTTTGTTTCTTGCTCAGGCTTATCCTTGAGCAGTCCATACACAAAGTCGAGGGAACGGGTTCGGGAGTACTCGATTTCGTCGTTGCACCACACCTCTAGCAGCTGAATGACTTTGAAGTAAGAGGACTTGAGCCAGTCCTCGTAAGCGTATTGGATAAGGTGTGGCTCGGTAAGACGTCCAGGTAAAGGCTGTCCTGAGCTCCACGAGCTGGCTGCAGACTTCTGTAATGTGCCCAACAACCCAGGTTGCGACTGGAAAGTTCGCAGTCTTCTGCTTGGAGGTAAGATAAGACCGGGACCTAGGAGATCGACCAAAGCACCCAAGGCTCCAATTGCCTGAGCGCGACTTCGTTTGGAGGCAAGGCCAAGAAGGGACTCAAACGCTTTAACGTTGTGCAAGGGAGATTCTTGTATTGCCAGCGTGAGCGCTGATACCTTGTCAGACAAGGTACCAGACGACATGATTGTAGAAAGGAACTTGTGGGAGGAGGACGCCAAGACACTCTTGCCGTAGACGGATGCATCAGCTTCTAGAAGAGCAAGAGCATGGTTCTTGAGCGCATTGATGGCACCGAGGTACCCATCCAGCTCTGTTGTTATGGGCTCTGGAAGCTTGCCTAACGCAGCGCCGTGCCAGTCCGCACGAGGCTCGAATTTCTGCGAGCAGACGGGTCAGTACAATCACGGTACGGCGATGACAAGGATTTTGCTCACGAACTGCTTCTTGGACACATTGTTTGCCTCCTTGCGATGCTCTTCGAAGGTCTCTTCCTGATGATTATCTGCTTCGGAGCCAGTGGTCTCTGCCTTAGAGTCCTCGCCACCATTTTCAGATTCACTGACGGATTCGACGTCGTCGTCGCTGCCACCGCCTTCGTCAGATCCGCCGATGGTCTCTTGTTCATGATATTGCTGGAGTCCCAGCTGAGCAGCAAAGGCAGCCAACTCGCCCTGAAGCTTGCTGTCGACAGCAATGCTATAATCCTCGGCCCCGTTGGTATCTTCTTGGTCTGAATCCACATCGCCAATCAACTGAAGGTCCTCCTCGTCGCCGCCCAAAGCTCGAATCTCCTCTAGCAGGGCTTCGCGAGATAGGGAATCGCTCTTGCTGGTCTTCGAATTGGTGGACACTGCCCTTCGAGGTTCCTGGCTTCCCGGAGAAAGTTTCTTTCGTTGTCGAGGACTCGCGGAGGGCCAATCTGAGGCGTGTTTGCGCTTCTTGTTAGTGGTGTTGCTGCCATCTTTTGGCTTCGTTCCCAAATTCTTATCGATCTTGGCTGTAAGCGCTGTGAGCGACTGCTCGTTCAATCGCGTCTGCTGTGAAATGCTGCTAGCGGAATGACGTTTAGGCTTCGCCATGGCTGAAGATCGTCTTGTAGGTTGACGAAAATAGAGCTCTGGCGCAACTCGATTCTCCCAAGTGTGAACAGAATGAGGAAGTTTTGCGCCGGGAAAATCCAGCCTCTGCAGCAGGTCTGGAGGGCAAAAAAAAAATTCCACTAGCTAGGTACGGAAGTGGGGTTGCTTGTGAATTCTATCTCCACACTAACCGCACTAAGGTAGTCTGTGCATGGGAAAGACGTGTTCACGCCCCTGCAGGTCGGCTGGTAGAGGGCAGATGCGGCTCGTGATCGTTTTTCCCAATCCCTGAAAAGATTATTAGATGGGCTAGGACCATTTCTCGACTGCGAGCTGTGGCTCATGACCCGACGCTTCACTACATCTTTTGCTCAATGGCCACCTACTTGGGCTAATTCGTATATTCTTTACGTCTATGACACTGGTGGATGCCCTCAAGTTTCTGTTTGGTCGAGTTGTTACCCACGTTCATCCAGGGGTCGCTTGCAAACCCGCTTTGCGCGACTTGAACGCCATTTCGCCTGCCGCACTCGCTGTTATCCGATCGCCTGCTCTGGTAATGCCATTTGCTTTAGCCAGGCAACTGCAGCGCCAAAACTAGAGACTCGTTGGTTCATTCGTCACCAACTGATACAAGCTACCCCTCAATGCCCACAGACATAACTCTGCATAAGCTGGGTTGGTAGTCGTGGGACGCCAGCTGCTAGAAAGCTCACGTTCTGTCGGAACGATGTTCACCTTTGCCCGAAGACTGACGCCTCCGTCAAAAACCCGCACGCTATGTTACAGCAGACTTCACCTACAATCTTGGCCAGGGTCTCGGGTAAGAATCGCACGCAAGATGCAGGATTACTCATGTTCAGGAAGGGCAGATACTAACATTCTCAAGCCATGTTTTCGACACTATCATAGCGAGCCTGCTCGGCATCGACTTTCCGCAATATGGACCCCTACTGGAGGTATTACTGCTGGGAAAGATGAAGGTAAACAATGCCTTGCTGCTTCCACCTGCAGGCGACTGACTAAGCCGGGAACAGGTGCTCACGACAAGCTCGTTCGTGCAGGGTTTCTCAGGCAGGTAGGTTCGGCCAACGCCATTCGAATGCCTTCATCTGAGTGCTTCCTAATATGCTTTGACAGTCTCACTTGGGAGTTTTCCACCTCCTGCCCCTCGGCAGGCGTGTCCAAATGAAACTCGAGGGTCTGATCGATCATTACATGCAAAATTTGGGTAAAGCCTCCAGAGTCTCGAAAGTGGCATAGTGTTGATCTTAGTACTCAGGGGCCTCCAGAGTGTCTCTATCAACCATAACATCCAAGGAGCTCTGGCACAGAAGTGGTCGCCTAGCCCAGCTAGAATCAGAGGTCCGTTTTCGCAGGGCTTGCTGGTGACGACATAACTGAAAACCCTACAGCTTTTCGCATTCGAGGATCGCAAAGGGGCCCAGTATATGCTGTCACCCACACATGAGGAAGAAATCACTTCCCTAGTAGCGAAGACTGTCAGGTCTTACAAGGAGTTGCCCCTTCGCCTATATCAGATCAGTGAGTTGGTCTACCTGCAGGCCTGATGTGCCGCGAAACTGCAGAGACTAACAGAGTATCCAAAGCTCGCAAGTTTCGTGATGAGTTGCGGCCACGGCATGGCCTTCTTAGATCCCGCGAGTTTACCATGAAGGACCTGTATACTTTTGACGTCTCATCTGAAGCGGCGTTGGAGACGTATCACAAAGTCCAAGCTGCTTATAAGGGTGTCTTTGAAGCCTTGAAGCTGCCAGTGATGGTGGCCAAGGCCAGCTCTGGCGATATGGGAGGCGATCTCAGCCACGAATACCATCTGCCGGCCCTTGTTGGGGAGGACACAGTCATTATTTGTGGTTCTTGCGATTATGCTGCTAATACCGAGGTGGCAGAGACTCGCAAGGACGTTACGAAGCTGAAAGGTCACCCCACGGTCGAAAACACCAAAGTGTCCGCTGTGAGAGTATGGCGAGGGATCAGCAAGGACCGCTCGACCCTGGTCAATGTATGGTACCCGGCACAAATTTCAGGGGAGACGAAAATGGAGGAAACAAAAGACGTTGACGTAAGCATACCTGCCGTGAAATCCATTATTCCCGGCTTGGACGCAAGCGTCGATGACGCCCTGCGTCTCTGGCCCCGTGCTGTCGAATGTCAGCATACAACTGGGCAAGCCGCCGCAAAGTCGCCGAGGCTAGTAAACCTGATCGACTTCAGACTGGCGGCACAGGCTGAGGAGTTGCTACTTCAAGAGGCAAAGTTGTGGCCTTTATCACGATGGGAGACGGCAAAGTCAAAGTTGGATGCTATCACGATCATGGAGGACCGGAGCGGTCAGGGCCTGAATCTCCTGACGGTTCGTGCAGGGGACAGGTGTCCAAGCTGCGAGAGCGGCATTCTGAGAGTACAGAAGGCCCTGGAAGTCGGGCACACGTTCCATCTAGGGACGAGATACTCGCAGCCTCTCGCGGCGACGGTTTCCGTGCCGATGGGCACAGCGGCCGCAAACGGGACAAGTCAACCCTTGGCTACCGAAAAGACGGTTCCGATGCAGATGGGGTGTCACGGGATTGGAGTGTCTCGTCTTATCGGTGCGATGGTTGAGCATTTGGCAGACGAAAGGGGGCTACAGTGGCCGAGGGTTGTCGCTCCCTACGAGGTCGTTGTGATATCATCAACAGACTTAGCCGAGGAGGCTGGAAATGTCTACGATGAACTAACGATGCCCAGAACCGGAATGTTGGAACCAGAGGCAGTATTGGATGACCGCGCCTTATCATTGTCATGGAAGCTCAAGGATGCAGATTTGGTGGGATACCCCGTCGTGGTGGTCCTCGGTAAAGCGTGGAAGCAGAATGAGGGCTGCGAAGTGCAGTGTAGGAGACTGGGCGTCAGAGAAACGGTGCCGCTGTCAGGGGTCCGTCGACGGGTAACAGAGTTGTTGGAGAAGCTGTAACAGCAACGACGCATGTCGAGTGAGTCTGGCGAGCACGTCCCACAAACAGGGTGTTGTAACAGTCGGCTATACAGTAATCAAGTCATCTCCTACACAGTGGATGCAGTCTGGCCGTCTTTTTAACGCTATATCTGGCCAAAATGGAAAAGGGTTTCCAGAGGCCTGGCTGGCGGCGGTGCTTTCGCTCATCGCCAAATATCACGTGACCTGGTGGTCGGCCTTACTAACCAGCATAACACCGAGTACGTATCTCAGACTTTGAGCTCTCGCCAGGCGGATAGAGTCGAAATCAACCGTCACTTCCACTCCATTCATTCCCTGTTCCTGTCTGCCGCAACGCTGGCAAGGCTGACTTTGATTCTACCCCCAATATCACGGCAATAGTCAAGCTTATCCGACATGGCCGCCCAAGGTTCTGAGACGAGTGAGTCATAGGTGTATGTATGCCACGTCAAAGGTCTTTCACTGATTTAATACGAAAGTCAACCTCGAGACACTGGACGTGCAGCAACTAAGCCAGGTCAAAAAACAGTTGGAGGAGGAGTTGGAGCACTTGACCTCATCGTTTGCCCAGCTGCACAGCGCTCAGGCTAAGTTCAGAGAGTGCCTACGTTGTGTTAAAGCTCGTCCTGGTTCCGAAGAGGGTTAGCGATTTCTCTCTCTCACCCAGTTCCCTCAGTTTCAGAGGCCATGAATGCTGATAACATCTCCAGCTGAGAGGTCGGTACTTGTTCCCCTCACAAACTCGCTTTACGTGCGCGGTGAGCTGTCCGACCCCAAGCACGTAATTGTCGACGTTGGCACAGGGTTCTATGTGGAGAAGGTTGGTGCATTTCCTGACACGCTGCGAAGGCGCAGCCAAGCCTGCTAACACTACGAAAACTGAAGGATATCGAGTCGGCCGAACGCTTCTACGATGCCAAGGTCCAACAGCTACAGAGCAACATACAGGATCTGGAAATCATTGTCCAGCGTAAAACATCAAATGTCCGAAGTGTTGAGGATGGTAAGTATTCTCTAACTCGTCAGGGAGGACATGCACTAGGTACTCACACCAGCCAAATAGTTCTGAGACAAAAGGTAGTTCAGAGTCAGGCAGCGTAGGAGGGAGGGCGAAAGAGAAGAACGGGATTGATCAAATAAGTGATCAAAACGAGAAAATGATGGCAACAGCTCAGCTTGTCAGTTGAGATTAGGTTTCGATATCTCACAAAGACGCATAGAGCAACAGTCAGTGTGGCAGATGTAGGCTTGCTACACAGTTAAGTACTATCAACAGTGACGTTGACAGCGGCTATTTCCGGTAATTGATGATGTTGCAAATTGACACTACTTCCTCGGTTTACAATGACGGGACACCCGGAAGAAGGCTAAGTATTCGCCGAGAAGCGGCTGATTGGGAAGGCACCGTGTCAAAGACTGTTCCGTGCCTTTATTCACACTGTAGAGTGACCAGGATGTCTTGCCCTTTTGCCAGTATGTAGCCTGTTAGCTTCTGGCGAACGCTACGGTCACTGGACGCTCTGCTCTGCTGCTGCAGTTGCTGCTACCAGGATTCTCCTGTCACTACCACCTGGGAGAGAGCTTCTAGCAATATTCGAAAACGCCGCGCTTGTGGTAATCTCGTAGCAGGTTTTTCTCGTTCCAAGTTCTTTTGCTTTTCTCCTCGTCCGTACTCTCTTTCTCCCTTCGGCCGCCAATCCTGCACGATGCTTTCGAGAAGCCTGAGAACCACTGCGCGCCTGGTGCCGCTTCGTCGGTATCCCGCGCGGGCGTTACCAATGCAGATGCCGCAGATGATGCAGCACGTCCGCAACTATGCAGACAAGATCGTCCAAGTGCCACAGATGGCTGAGTCCATATCCGAGGGAACGCTGAAGCAGTGGTCCAAGCAGATTGGCGATTTTGTCGAGCAAGACGAAGAGATCGCGACCATTGAAACCGACAAGGCAAGTTGTTTGTTCCAGCCTTGACCGGAAGGCCTGACGTCCTTTTGTTGCGACAACTACAGTTTCCCTGGAGACGATGTTGACTCATTCACATGTAGATTGATGTCGCTGTTAATGCCCCGGAAGCAGGCGTCATCAGGGAATTCTTGGTCAACGAGGAGGATACCGTTACTGTCGGTCAAGATATCGTCAAGTTGGAGCTTGGCGGCGAAAAGCCTAGCAGCAGCAGCAAGGACCCTAGCGAAGGGAAGACCACATCAGACAAGCCTGCCGCCGAGCCCGAATCTCAACCCGGGCCTTCCAAGTCAGAGTCGAAGCCTGAGCCTAAGGATGAACCTCAGCCTGAAAGCAAGCCAGCTGCTTCTCCAGCGAAGGAGGCCAAGGAGACTTCAAAGCCCGTGCCCAGTCCCTCGAAAGAAACTGCTTCGAGCACTGGTCCAAGCCTTGGTAGTCGTGAGGAGCGCCGCGTACGTTATGCTCCGACTGCCCCCTCCTCGTCCGGAGATGACTGTCGTGAGGTAGTATGACTGATTTGGCGTAGGTGAAAATGAACCGCATGCGCCTTCGCATCGCCGAGCGTCTCAAGCAGTCGCAAAACACTGCGGCATCGCTGACCACATTCAACGAGGTCGATATGTCGTCTCTCATCGAGTTTCGAAAGCTTTATCGTGACGATGTGCTCAAGAAAACTGGCGTGAAGCTGGGCTTCATGAGCGCCTTCTCACGCGCGTGTGTCTTGGCCATGCGCGATATCCCTGCTGTGAACGCGTCCATCGAGGGACCCAACGGAGGCGACACTATCGTATATCGTGACTATGTTGACATTAGTGTCGCTGTGGCCACGGAAAAGGGCCTCGTCACTCCGGTTGTCCGCAACACTGAGTCACTTGACATGCTGGGCATCGAGAAGGCGATCGCTGACATGGGCAAGAAGGTACAGTTTGGTCTGTTTGGGTCTTTCAGAAACGGGATGGTGGGCTAACTTGCTGCGAAATAGGCTCGAGACAACAAGCTCACCATCGAAGATATGGCTGGTGGCACCTTTACTATCAGCAATGGTGGGGTGTTTGGCTCTCTCATGGGAACCCCGATCATCAATCTTCCTCAGACCGCCGTGCTGGGTCTCCATGCCGTGAAGGAACGCCCTGTTGCGGTCAATGGGAAGATTGAGGTTCGCCCCATGATGTATCTAGCTTTGACCTACGACCACCGGCTTCTGGATGGAAGGGAAGCTGTTCAATTCCTTGTAAAGGTGAAGGAGTATATTGAAGACCCTCGGCGTATGCTCTTGTAAATAGCATTAGTTGTAGCTTTAAAGAAATTCTCAATCTATATACTATATATATTGATTATTAAGTTCATTCTTTTTATAGCGAATTATCCCGCTATACGCTCTTGCGCGGCCCCCTTAGTGAGCCCTACGGAGGGAGCGGGGTATATAACTAGCATAGACCTCGCGAGTTTATGATCTAGGGACGCTTAGGAGCAGAAATTATAAAAGAAATATAAAATGAAATATAATATAAAAATATATTACTAAATATGATATAAGTATTTATACTATTTTTTATATATTACTAGATATGTATTTTTAAATATAATATAAATATATATATTATATTTTATATTCTATGTTATATCTTATATTCTATTTTATATTTTTTTTATATTTTTTTATATAAATAAAAAAGGCGTTTTTAGTATAATTATATATATTTGTATGTTATAAATAGTATTTATATATTAAACCACTTAGAAATAGAATGGAGAAAAGTCATATGTTTTATAAAACTACTTTAAAACTTAAGTTAAGAATTTTAGTAAAATGACTATATATTTACTATATTTAATATACTAATAAAGCTAATTAATAAATACTTATTTATGTATTTCAATATTAATTTCTATTAACTTAGTTTATATATAAAGTGATTTTAAATACTATTATTTTGTAAACTAATTTCTTAAAATCTATTAATTACTTTTAAATATTATGTTAATCTAAATATTTATTATAGAATCTTATACTTAACTAATTTAAAATAAAAAGATTTTAAGGAATGAAATAAAATATGTTTTTATTTTTATAAAAAATATTAAGAAGAAGTAAAGTTCTTAAAATTTCTAATAATTTTAACTAAAAAATAAGAGATTAAATTAATATTTTTATAAGTATTAAACGTTATTATAAAAATAGATAACTTATATAAATAAATAGAGATTTAACTAGTTTAAAATAAAAAACTAAGTAAATAAGTAAAAAGCATACTTATTTTTATACTTTTCTTATTCTTTTAAATAAGTTTAGTAATTAGCTTTTAAAATGGTTTTTTAACTTTTTAAATTTAATTTATAATAAAGTTTTATTAAAATCTATTTCTTAAAGATTAAATAGAAGTAAATATCTTTAAACTTTTTTAGTTTTAATTAGTTTTACTTTTTTATTTTATTTATTACTTTTTATTTTATTCTTCACATTATTTAAAACTATATAAAGTATAATATTATAACTATAATATTATTTAACTTATTTTTAATAGTTTATTTCTTTTAAAAAGACTATATGGTTTAAAATAGTAGAAAAATAAATAAAATCAATAAAGTATTGATTAGTTAAGTTTATATTTATTAATTTACTTTTATATCTCTTATAAGTAGCTAAATAAGTAATATATAAATATTTAAGTATTTTTAAGAGGTGTTTCTATTAAAAATAAAGCACTTAATATAATTAATAAGTTTAGATTAAGCATAAGTTAAAGTGCTACTATTAGGTTTAAAATATAGGGAAAAAAAAGTATAGAGTGAACTGCAATACCTACTTTTATAGGTTAACCAAACTGCTAATATAATTAACAAGTTCTCTTTTTTATTTTATTATAAAATTAATAATTTATATAAAAAGCAAGCTAAATAAATTATTATAGAGAATTCTCTTTATTATCATTCCATATTATTTAGTTAAACTAAAATAAAAATAAACTTAAAAAAAGAAGCAGTTTAAATAATGTTATATTAAGAGAGATTTAACTAATATGTTTTGAACTTCTTTTTTAAACAAAATTAAAAGTAATAACTTAAACATTTAAAATTAAAAATCAACTTAAAGCATATAAAACTCAAAAAAAACTTAAAAAAAGAATATTTAGTATAATAATAAAAAGAATTAAAGTTTATATATATTTAATTAAGGGCTGCTAGCTTTATATTATGAAATTTAATTAATATTAACTGCTAAAGTTAGATTAGTCTCCTCACTCTATGTTAATAACTTTTAAGTTATATAGCTATAATTTGAACTTATATATTATCTTTACGTCTATACTCCTCTAACTTTAACTATTATATTAAGCTTTAACTACTTTTTCTAGCTACCTCTATCTCTATTAATTTCCTTTATCTCTTATATTATATTTAATCTGTATTTATCTTTAAAGGCTTCTCTACTATTTAAACGTTTATACTATAAATAATATCTTTTATTTTACTATATAGTCTTAACATAAAGTTTTATTACTATTAGCTATACTTTTACTATATTTACTTTTTCTAACTTACTAACTTTTCAAGCTACTTTAGCTATTTTAAAGAAGTTTATAAAATATTCATAAGTATTAAGATTATTATTATTAGCTTTAACTATCTCTACATTAATCTTAAAACTATATAACTTTAGTAGATTATATTTATTAACCATTTTAAACAAATATTTCTAAATAAATTTAAATAAAGTCTTTTTAGCAGTATAGAGAAACTTACTATATTTAGAGTTTTTAATTTTATTTACTTTAGTTTTATAAATTAAGTTATTTAGAGTAGCTTCATTTAGCTTATATATAGGTATAATAAGGGAAAGATATTATAATTATTATATAAATAAGAAGATATAAGAAATTAGCTTAAGGTTTTATTTAAATAGTTAAATTTTTATATTATAGCTATAAGAACCTTTTTAGCTATATAAAAAGTTATAATATTAAGTTTATACCTTTAAGTATAAGTTTAAGCTATTATTAAGCTTTAGTTATATTATAAATAATATTTTTATAATATTATAAATAACGCTCTTACTAGTACGTTTTACTACTTAACTACTATATACTTACTTACTTTCTTCTATGTAGCTAAAGATAAGTTAAACTAAATATTAATAACTAGTTATATTAAGATTTATTTATTTATTTTATTAAGATTAAGTATAAGTTGAAATGCTATTATTAGGTTTAAAATGTAGAGAAAAAAAGTATAGAGTGAATTAAAATACTTATATAGATTAACTATACTACTAATATAAATTTAATTAATCCTTTTTATTATTTATTTGTTTATTTATTTAAAACTTATAGTAAGTTATTTTACTATAAGTTACTATAATAATAACTTAGAAATAGTTGAAATAAAATAAAAATATTCTTTTTTATTTTTAAAGCTTAAGTAATAAAAATAATTAGATTTATTTTTATTAGAAGAGGTTCTTACAGCTAGAATTATATAAACTCTATTATATATAGAGGTTTATATTTATTCTTTTCTTTTCTTACTTTATAACTTATAATAAATCTTATGTAATATCCATATTATGTAAAGAATATAAAAATATTAAATTTATACTAAAATTTATTTAATTTAAAAATAGCTTAAAATATTACTATATAGAATAGTATCTATATATTAGATAAAGCTTTTAGCTTTATTGAGTATTTTAACTTTAATTAAAAGCGTTTTATTATAATAATATCAAATAGAACTTTTATAAATATTTTTAAAAAGTATTTTCTTTATATTATAATTAAAGTAATAAATATTATTAATAGATTGAAAATAGAAGTTATATATATCTCTAGCTATTCTAAGGAGTAATGCTTTTTTATATAAACTTTCTCTAAAAATACTAAGTCCTAACTAAATACCACCTAAAGGAGAATTTAAAACTAAGTATAACTAGCGCTATAAAAAGATATAGAGCTAATATTACTAATATTAGTATAACTAGTAAAACTATACCTAATAACTAAATAATTAACTTGATAACTATTAATTATATATTAATATAACTAAAAAGAATAACATAAATGATAAGCGAGCTGAACAGACAAGCGAGCTGAACACCCAACTGCAACCACAGCATCTTCTTACTTCTACCACACGTCAATCCCACAATAACAATGGCATCAACACAAAAAGAAGCTTAAGTGGTCCTAGCAGTCCAAGCTATCAAAAACACACTAAGTCTCAGTATCTGAGAGGCTGTCTGGATCTACTCCGTCCTAGTTATAACGTTATACGATCGATTGAAGGGAAGATCATCACGACGCGACACTACGCCTAACTTGCGGAAATTAACTACGCTCAAAGAAGAAAAGCTTGTTGAGTATATTCTCGACCTGGATTCCCAATTGTTTCCTCCTCGGATTAGTGGTGTTGAAGATATAGCTAATCGACTGCTTGCCGACTGCGACGCGCCCCCAGTTGGGAAGCGCTGGGCTTCGAACTTCATTAAGCGACAACTATAGCTCTGGATGCACTTTTTTCGCAAGTACGACTATAAGAGGGCCTAATGCGAAGATCTAGACGTAATAAACATATGGTTTCATCTTATGGCGAATATAATCGCAAAATACAGCATTATGGACTCTGATATCTATAACTTTGATGAGACTGGGTTTATGATAGGCCAGATTGCATCTGGGATGGTTGTCATGAGTGCTGAAAGGCGTTCAAACACAAAAATGATGCAGCCTGGCAATCGTGAATAGGTTACAGTTATTCAGGCTATCAGTTCGTCAGGCTACAGCGTTCCGCTATATATCATCGTTGCAGGCTAATATCACCTCTCCACCTGGTATACTGAAACCAATCTACCATGCAACTGGGTTATTGCAACGTCTGAAAACGGATGGATAACAAACGAAAGAGGCTTAGATTAGCTCCAGCACTTTGATCGGCATATAAAACTGCGTGCGAGTGGCAGATATCGCCTCCTCATCGTTAATAGTCATGAAAGTCACTATGCGGCTGACTTCGAGATATATTGCAAGGAAAACGATATCATTACACTTTATATGCCGGCCTATTCCTCTTAATTACTTCAGCCCTTGGATGTTAGGTGTTTTGGGCCACTGAAGAAGGCTTACGGCTGAGAAATTGAGGAAAAGATGCGACGGGGTGATACCTATATCACAAAGGAGGACTTCTTCCCTGCGTTTTATACAGCATTAACAAAAGCAATTACGGAAAAAAACATTCAGGGAGGATTCAGAGGGGCTGGGCTTATGCCTTTAAGTGCAGAGAGTG